GAGATTGTGTCATCTTAGACATAAAGCTCATGGATAAAATTATCATTCAAGATTTTGCTCACATAACAAAAGAAAAAATCCAAATTTTAGCAGGCATTTTACTTACCAAATATTAAGAGCACCACAGTCACTAAGCCTGGAGAAGAGTTCATCTCTAGAGTGTCACCCAAAGGTTCTTGATTCTTAACAAGAAGGGATGTTGAAGTCACAGTGAAATGATTAATGCAAGCCTGCATTTCACTCAGGAAATACGTGCGTGTTGAGATGTTGCACCCCCTGGTGGACAGAGTCTGAAATGGGATTTGAGTTTCCTGGACTCCCCCCAACGTCTTGACTTTATGGACCAGGCATATGTCAGTCTTTGGGTGGGTCTTAGAAATCTGAACACAGATTTTTTAAACTCTAAAGTCTATTTGTTCTTAGGACACTATGTGTCATGGAAATTCTTTAACAGAGCAGGGTATTCTGTAGCCTAGAAAATGTCGATTTTCTTCAGTATTTTAACACAATCTTTTTATTCTTGCATATTCCTTGTGAGCCAGCCTACAATCCAGTACAATGTTAGAAAAGCATACGGAGTTGGATACATAGGGAGTAAGAAAAAGTCAAGTCATTATTGAGTGATTTTGTGCTTGCAGCAATATACCCCAATATACAGAACAATGATGTTCATCATGTGCTACTACCGACCTAGCCACGTCCTGTCTGTGATGACGATCCCCTGCCATGCTTCCCACAGAAGGCAGAGGCACCAAGCAGAGCCTTGGGGGTTGGAACACCTCCCCTCAGTGTGTCTCTCACCCTGGGCTCACTCAGTGCACAGAAATACACTGCAGAGTCCGCCCAATGTGAGACTGAGATGACAAGGCTGATGGAATTGCTGGTCTTCTGGAAATCCAGTGAGGTGCAAACTTCTGTTACATTTTGCTGGTTATAAGAATCCTGGAAAATAACAAAGTTAAGTCTTGACGTCTGAACAGCTTGTTCCAGAGTAAACTATGAAGCACAGAACTGGTGTCATAAGTGAGTTCAGAGTCACACCCTCTTTCTCCTGCACTGCATTGCTGTTGGGTTTGAATCACCATCCAGGCAATTCTGCATCCTGGAGGGGAAAAGACAGAATTAGGGATTTAGGAATAAGTTATGTGGGATACCTTGCTACTCCTCCTTCGCAGGGTACCCACCAGACACACCTGCACCTCAGGTCCTCAGGTCATGGAGAGGGCACATCTAGAAACCTGAAGAGCAGCACGTTTCAGTTCTGCCACTAGACAGGAGGGAGCATGTTCTTCCCCAGTGTCGGGCTCTGCACTGTGAGTGAGGTGAGTCCACCAGGTGAGGGGAGATTTACTGGGTTTGTGCTGCTGCTGCTGCCCCAGAGCAGGGTCAGGGCTCTCCAGCAGGTTAGTGGGGGTCATGTTAGTTTCTCTGTGTGTGGAGTCTCTCCCAGCCCAGACTGCCTTGCATGAACCAACTCTTAAATTTATAGCAATTACATCTGATAATATAAAGATTTATTTATTTATTTATACAAGCACCGGGTACAGTCAGAAGCACAGGAGGGTGAGAGAATTTACCAGAGACAGAAGCAGGGAACAGAACCGATGAAACACACTGCTGAGGGGAGCAGCGGGCGAGGCAGGAGAGGTCTGCCGTGCTATGGAGGACTCTCGCCTGCGGCCGGGGATCGAACTGGCGCTACAGAGACTGCAGGCAGCTTCGCAGCCCAGTGCTCAACTGCTGTGCCACTAGGGAAGGCCCCTACATCTGATAATGTAGAAGTAAAATTTTACATTAAAGGAAGATTGATGTTTGGACCAACTGTTATGCTCAGTCATTGCATCTGTGATGAAACTGGGTGTGTGGTAATTATTTAAAAATGCTACATGTGATGGCTTATAGAAACAATGGAATGTGTATAATGCAAGTATCCTCACCTCTACGTGTGCTGATGTTCCATCTTAGGTAACAATAGGTCACCTATACTGAAATGGCAAAGATATTTGGGCTGATCCCTACAGTTTTTCCAACCACATCCTGATAAAACAGTATTCTCCCTCACTATCCTTACCTGTCCAATTACCCATGTTGGGCCAGACAACAGTGGGAAAATCTATGGTTTCCATTTGCTGAACCCTAGAGTGATGCCCTCAGACTGAGTCCAATCACAGAATTCCCCTTCTCTTCTCAGTTGAGGTTTATGGTTCATCTGTTCAGAATGGCCAGAATAGACTCCAGAGCTTGGCATTGGTTACCGAACCTTTGAATTTAAACTTTTTCCATTACCTCATTTGGGACCACAACGAACCTCTCCATTCTCTATGCTCAGTACTAAAGAGAGTCTATCCTTGGTGACTCCATACACCCACGCTGGTGACAACAGGTGACAACTGATCGTAGGGTTACTGGTTGTAATAAAACTTTCCCTATGTGTGAATACAGAAGCAGTCGTGCCTAGGGCTTTTACTCTGCCTTCTAGGGTCAAGAGAAGACCTCCCCAAGATTTTACTAAATTGTCCAGAGAGTAGGAAACAAATACCACCATGGCAAAGTTTAAAGCTTGAACATGCTGATCAGAGGGAACAAAGAACTGACTGCACAGACTCCTGAGCACTTTTTCTTCCCTGAATAAACTCTCACCTACGTGTGACAGAGCAGGTACATGGATAGTCACTGTGCTCCTGTTGACTTAAAAAATAACGCAGCTGGGGCCTCCCCAGTGGCACAGCAGTTGAGCGCTGGATTGCGAAGCTGCCTGCAGCCTCTGCAACGCCGGTTCAATCCCCGGCTGCCGGGCGAGGGTCCCACATGGCGCGCAGACCTCTCCTGCCGCCCGCTGCTCCCCTCAGCAGCGTACTTTGTCAGTCTGCCTGCTCTGCTCTCCGCTCTGACTCTCATGAATTCTCTCACCCTCTCGTGCTTCTGACTGTACCCAGTGCTTAAATAAATAAATCTTTTAAAAAAAATGATAATGCAGCTATATTCGATAGAAGCCATGCTTCTCTCTCACTCCATTGTCATTCAGTAGGAAGGCTCCAGAGAAGACCCCCTGCTTCCACTGGTGAGAGTTGCTAACTGAGGGAAGTAACAAGAGCCCCTTGGGTTTCTGGGCAACACACTGGCTTTTCTTCCTCAGCTGTTTTAAGTCTAAGTTAACCTAATGACGTTGCCTCCAAGAACAAACCAATTCACTAACAACAAACAACCACACCAAGGAGGCTCAAAACAATGTCACCTGGTCGTAGTAACTGCTAATTAAACCCATTCACAGGAAGAAAAGGATGCTCTTAAAAATAGCCTCACCTTAGCCAGGGGTAAAACAAGTAAGGAATTTTTTTATTTTTATGCAACTTCTTTCATTCCACTGATTTATCTGTAATACTAAAAGAAATAACTTTTTTTTGAAAAGAGGTTGTTGTTAGTCATGTTGACTCAGTCAAAGCATGAAGGCAGGGAGAGTGTAACTGGCTATATCTAAATTAACCTTGGTACAATGCTTTTGTTTTGCCTACTAATAAGATTTGAGTAAAGTGGCTGATAAATAAGCATAAAAAATTTACCTATATACCCCAGAAAGTAAGATTTCAATCATAATGTTAACAAAAAATTACAAGTCAAAGAATAAATTTAATTATCTTAAAGCTATAGAGCATTGTCAAGAAAGACAGATAAATAGAGAGAAATTGCACATTCTTTTTTTAAAAAGATTTTTATTTATTTATTTAAGCTTATAAGAACTGGAGTGTAGGCGGTGAGACAATTCACCAGAGACAGAGTGGGGAACAGAATAGGCAGATTTACTGAAATATCCTGCTAAGGGGTGCAGCAGGTGAGACAGGAGAGGTCTGCTGTGCCATGTGGGTTAGCTCCCTGGTAGGAGATCAAACTCTGCCCACCACAGTGCATGGTGATAACTTGATAGTGCTGAGATTTAACCCCTTGTGCACCAAGGAGGCCCAAAACAGTGCATTCTTAATCAAATATACACATGAGGGAATCTTGTTATTTATAAATTAATTTATAAATTCAATTCAATCATAAAACACAAATTAAAACTAAGCAAATTTTACCTTTGCTTCTTTCTTTAACAAATATCTACTGATAATCAACTATGTGAAAAAATTTGTACTAGGTATAACAAAGCAGTAAATAAAACACAGAACACCTTCTTCTAGATTCTATGAGATAGTACATGTACATGATACTGACAGAATTTTATAAAACAGAATAGATTTGTGTGTTTAATCTGAAAATCATGCTTTTTAATCACTATCTAATTTCCCTGTAATACACAAGCATTATATGCCATCACTGACTCCAAAGAAAAATCCACATCCCATTTTTCTCAACAAGAAAGTGGTCAGAACACAGGAAGGGCTGTCAAATGTTGCCATTGATATGGAGAAATAAATTAACATAAAACTGCAATTTATTAATGCCTCTCACAGAGGTATTAAAAAGAAAATGTTCCCCATGAAGAAATGGGGAACGCTCAATTCAAGATAAAATTTTAAGTGAAAAATAAATCATGTCTGATTTATAATAATTTGTAAAATGAGCAAACCAAATAGAAGAAATATTATCTTGTTCTAGAAATATCAGATTATATATTTCTTACATTATGCATACTTTATATGTGGCATGTAATGTCGTATAATCAGGAAACAAATGCTATTTTCAAACAATATTTTAAAAAGCCCATCCATAGTAAGAATTGGAATATTGCTACCAGGTAGTTCCTTGTAGGTGAGGAGTCTGAATAGCAAATGTAAATCATCTTTAAAATTTGAATTTCAAAATAAAGCATCATTATATCCCTATATGAATCCATAAAACAAAAGTGAGAGAACAAAATATTCTAACCCTTCTGGATCATTTTGAGACTAATCTAATTAAATGCTTTAACATCTAATACATCAGTTCCCACTGCAGACAGTATGACAAAGGCTGTGCTTAAGGGAAGGGCTGTGCCCAAGGGAAGGGGCTGCCAGGTGCAGGTTTCAGTACAGGCTGCAGGTGCCAGGGCAGCACTGTGTACTCGCTGCGCAGAAGTACACGGCAGAGTCTCCAGGCTGGGTGGCTGGGATGAGCAGGGAAAGATGTTTGGCAGTTTTGTTCAATGAGAGAGTGTATCTAGGTTCTTCACTAACATTCTTATTTGAACGAATGTCTATAATCAGCTGGAGACCTTTTCCAGGTTCTTGCTTATACCAAGGGAAGTAAGATGAGGCACTGTCTGAGTAAGTACAGTTGATGACAGCTCTGTCTCCCTCCGGGACGCTCAGGGTGAGAGGCTGCTGCTCCACTTTCTCCCCCTGGCTGAGCCCTAAGGAGAAAGCAAAGGTCAGAGAAAGGAGGAGTGTCAGATCATCACGCCCCAGGATTTTCTTTAACTAAAGAAATACTGAATAAAAGCAGTCTCTTCTTTGACTTCTAAAAAATATCTTCTATTAGGGTCTGCTTTCCCAAATACTTCAACTCACAGTTCCACTGCAGCCACAGCAACATGGTTACAGTTCCAATGGATGTCTTCATCCTTCTGGTTTAGGATCAATTGTGGACCTGCAATCTCCAGCCAACAGAGCTGCTTCTGTTCCCAAGTTACCACTGCTTCTCCTAACCATCATAGTGGGTGCTCACATGACCCACCCAGCCAATAAGAAAAAGACTGTTTCTGCAATACCCCACTCTCTCAGGACCCACCGAAATGAGGCCTCCCATGGTCCACATCAGCAGAGGGCACTGCCATCTAGTGGTGACATCCTCAGCAACTGAACTTGTGGTTAAAGGCTCCCTGTACCCAGGGTCTATGAAGGGCTAAGACCCATAAAGGCAGCAAAGTCACATAAATTAGGTCACAGATGGAGATTTAATGGACAGTAAGAATGTAGAGGTGAAGGTTATGTCTCCGTACACTACTGAGTCCTTGTGAATAACTTGAAAAGAGACAGATGCTGTTGGTGTTCATTCAATAATGGGCGTGGTTTCCATGTTTGAAATCAGGAGAACTCCAAGATTCACTCGTTAACAAAAAAATATAATGCCTTCCTGTTCAGTCTAACCAACCACTCTTGTTTGTCTGCTATGGAGAAAAAAAAATCTTTCTAAAAGGATCATATAAGCTAAAGATCAGGGTGAGTGAGAGAACATTACTTCAAATGCCTATTAGCTGTGGCTTTATTCCTCTAAAATGGTCCTGCCGTGCTATTTTCAGAGAATAGTCAATACCAACAGTCAAGTAGTGGAATCTTCCTTCATTAAATATAGTCAAATCTCAGTGATAAGGGAGCAAGGGCCAACTGTCATGAGTTTTCATATTTCCACTTTAAGAAATAGTTAACTCCAATTCAAAAAAAAAAAAAAGAAATAGTTAACTCATAGATTTGGTTGACTTGCAGTGTAATATCTGACATGCTTGAAGAAATCTTACCAATGCTATGTGCCTTATATCCTGCAAATTATTGAAAGACTTAAAAATCTAAGAAAACACTGAGTTGCAGATTCAGAAAACATAATTACATGTGAGTTTATTCTTAAGTTGATTTCATTGTCTGCATTGAAATGAATTTCATGTTCCAAAATGCAACTGCTGACTTACATCCTTAGTGAAATTTCTCCTATTAGCCAAGTCTTCCTGCATGCATTCCTGCTTTCCTGGCCGTTGCTGGCTCAGCTCTCATACTATATCACAGGGATTATAGTTAGCCATACCTATTTTTCACTTGAAAGTTGCTAAAAGAGTAGATTTTAAATATTCTCACCATAACAAAAGCAAAACTTGACAATAATGTCAACTGAAGAAAGTGTTGAGTAGCTACGCTATGATAAATATGTTGTAATATGTATGTGTAGCAAGTATCCCATTACACAATTAAAACTTCCCACTGTTATATGTCAATTATATTTCAGTAAAGGTAGGGGGAAAACAAAATTGTTTGTTTGTTCGTTTGTTTTGAAATGAATGGCATGTCCTAAATGCGATGACTGACTCACATCCTATGTGAAATATACTTTAAACTATGAGTCAAGTCTACTGGCAGGGATTCCTGTTGCCTTGGCCATTGCTGGCTCAGATTGCACAGGATATTCTTTTTCTCCCAAACTCTTATACATTGTTCTTCCCACAAAATATTGATAAAGTACTGCAGTCTTATTTAAATTTCAAGAATTATCTCTCTCTGCCAAAACTCCTTTGTCATGCACCTAAATGTCTGGGAATTTTCTGGTTACCTTGATGGGAATAAATCTAGTGAAACCTATATATTCTCCATGTCTGCCCGGGAGACAGTTCAAATAGGAAGCTTTTCATAAGACCTGATCATGGAAAATGATTCCTGGAAAACCAAAACTATCTCATTTCCAAAAATGGAAGTCACTTTCCGGTGGTGTACACTCCCTGGTCCCCTGGAATTCAAGAATAAATCTACTCTCTCTTCCACATCTCACACTATTAAAGATTTAAGAGGTGAAGATTATCAACTCTGTTTAAAACGTTTTTCACATATATAAAACTTCTCAATTCTGAGGATCTTCCATTTTCTCAGCAGCAAAGAATAAGATTTCCTATTGCACCCACATTCTGGCCCGCATTTGGTGTCATCAGTGCTCCAGATATCGGCCATTTTAATAAGGGTATAGGGATGTCTCACAGTTATTCAACTTAGTTTTTTTTTTTTAGTAGCCCCCATTTATTTTTTTTTAAATAATAATAATAAATTTTATTTTTATATTCCCCCATACAACTGCACATGCCCCATTCTGACCCCAATCCCTCCCCTCCCGGCCCCCACCCCCCAAAAAGTGTCTCTGGTTCATAGTTTTTTGTTGATTTTGATTTTCACTTTCTTATAGTTATTCATTTCCTGATCCCTTATTTAAGTTTTCTAGATTCCTGCTATGAGTGAGACCATCCGGTATTTTTCTTTTTCTTTTTGGCTTATTTCGCTGAGCATGATCCCTTCCAGCGCCATCCATGTTGCTGCAAATTGCATGTGTTTATCTTTTTTGAATGCTGAGTAATATTCCATGGTATATATGTACCACATCTTCTTGATCCAGTCATCTATTTTTGGGCATTTGGGTTGTTTCCAAGGCTTAGCTATTGTAAATAGTGCTGCTATAAACATAGGGGTGCAGGTGCTCTTTGGAATTGATGTTTCTGTGTCCTTTGGGTAAATACCCAGGAGTGGAATTGCTGGATCATATGGAAGCTCTATGGTTAGTAGGTCAAGAAATCTCCACACAGCTCTCCATAGTGGTTGGAACAGTTTGCACTCCCACCAACAGTGCAGAAGAGTTCCTTTTTCTCCACAACCTCGCCAACATTTGTTGTTGCTAGTTTTTTAAATATGTGCCATTCTCACTGGTGTAAGATGGTATCTCATGGTAGTTTTGATTTGCATTTCCCTGATTACAAGTGATGTTGTTCAACTTAGTTTTAAATGTAAATTTTTGTAGGAGCATTTTAATGTTGCCACCTTGATATATTCTGTAACTGGTGGATGTTGTGTAGGAAATTGGTAGTACCTCCATGATTCACATATGATTCAAAATGCATGGTTAAACAATCCCTAAATAGTTAAAAGGAAGATTATTTGTCAATTATCTTACATATCAATAATTAGTTGTTTGCTGAAACTTCATAGGCAAATAGTTTTATTTAAAACTACTACCTTCATATTTAATTTCTATTTCTAAGCCTGTGATTCTTTATGTTTGCAATGTTGCAGCAATTTTCAAAACTGGAATTTCTAAACTTTTTGAAGAAATCTAATGGTGGTTTGACTGCAGTGTCCATGTATACACCTTCGTTTTGTAATAATATACTAACTGAGGTCACTGCATCTCTTTGCTGCATGTCAGCGGCCCAGGTAGCCTGAGGATGCACAGGCACAGCAGGTAGTCCTGCCAGCTGCTCAGCTTACACTCTGCCAGCTGTGACCATGAACCCAAGCCTGCAGGTGTTTCCGTCCTGTGTCCTGCTGTCCATGTATCGTCTCTGCTTGCGCTCCATCTTCTGAAGCTTCACATATAAAACACAAGTACAAATATACAATGATTAAGAATTTCAATGCAGCAAGAGCAGAGCATTGCACAAATGGTGGTGTTCCTTCTGAGAGTGGGGCCCTGGGCAAATGCACAGCTCACCTGCTCAGAAAGCTGGTCCTGTTCCCAGCTTCCGTGGAGCCGGCCCATTTGTCTTCATCTTAATTTTTAGGTGCTGCTCCTTCTTTCCAAAGTCCTTCTATTACCCAAAGAGACACTGCAAGGTTAAAATTTCCTGGGAATTTTAATGATTTCACATACAGACTTACACTTTGGACATGATTGTCAGAAGACTTGGTCTATGGCTACAGCAAATGGGGATTTGTTTTAGGGTTGTCTTGGAGACTTTCTGCTCCCTTTTCCAGAACTATGAATGATATCACAAAATCATGGGTAATATATTTATTCAAAAGATGGGCAATGGATTTGAAAAGAATAGCATGGAAAGTTAAATGAGCTTTTCCTTACAATGTGCTAGTCAGAAATGACCAATTAGGGTATTTTTCTCAGGGATGCACGTAGACACATTGCACAAAACCATCAGTATAAACCTTGTGGATTTTGTGAAGACTCTTCTGTATCAGGTAGCTCAGGGTATAACCTTCATGATTAATAGTCATATCACCTCCAGCAAGTCACTTATGCTCTACTATCTTCACTTGATACTTCTGTAAAATAATATATAAAGGTACTTATTTACAGGGCATCACCAATACTCAAATAATAAGCTACCGAAACTGCCTCAGTAAAATTACTTTTATTACATTTATTACTTCCAGGAGCGAAAAGGCAGCATACAAACATGTAAAACAATTCACATGCTGTCCTTCCTTTTTCTTGAAAGTAGAACCATTTCCAACTAGCTGAAACACGTATTTATCTCTTTTCTACTGCTTAACCATCATATAGTCTTTAAGCTACAGTTTCAGAGTAATGTACACATCATTTCCATACTACCTCCCAGAGGGTCTGGTGGAACAGAACTGGCTATTCGCATCTTCATCAGTTGCCCTTATGGTCCTAAATTTCAGCATTTTTCCTACAAGGAATATCTGGAAGAAAATGACACAAAACGTGAAGGATCTAACCTGAAGAGAAAAAAAAAATGCAAAGAAGAATCTGAAACCTCATGTGCAAAAGCTACAGTGAGGCAACATGCAACCCCTCCCAGGAAGAGGTGGGGCTGGGCCCAGCTGCAGTTTGGGTAGAGGCTGCACATCACCCCAGAGCACTGTGCCTCCCCCGCACACAGGTAGGTGGCTGAGTCCTCCAGCTGGGAGCTCTCAATGTGCAGGGTGCTGTGCTGCTCCTTAAATCTCAGTGTGGTGGTTAACCTTCCCTCCTGCTTCGGAGTCTCTGAAGCTATGTACAACAGGGTGACCAGGCCGCCCCTGGGATTCTGTCGGAACCACTGCACTCTTGTCACTGTGGTAGAGAAGTTGCACTTCAGAGTGGAGCTGTTTCCCTCCGGGAGAGGCAGGGATGCAGGA